AAATAAGGATGCCTCAAGCAAGAAGGATGTTGCAGCTTCAAGCAAGAATGATGATGCCCCCCCCAAGTAAGAAGAATGGTGCTGCTGATAAGTGAAGACTGCCCTCCTCGCGGTGCATGGAAGAAGTGGGTAGATAGGAAGGCCTTTTGGCTCCAGTTGGCTTCCTGCTTTTGCTTTTTTCTTTTAGTTCCTGGAATGTTAAACTTTCTGGTAGCTTTGGCTTAGTGCCTAGATGGTCTGTTGATCTATGAGATCCTATGTAATGTTCCTTTCTATCCTTTGCCTGAACTATGTACTTATGCTATGCATACTTGTACTTGGGCCTACCTCTTTACTATTTTCTATGGATAGTAGAAATTACAATAGATCTTGGAATGTTCTATTCTGGAACATTAGGGGCATCAATGCTGATAACAAATGGGAGTCAATTAGAAATAAAATCACAGAAAGTAAATGTGATATCGTTAGCATCTAGGAAACCAAGAGAGAGTTTTTTTATCTTACTTATATTAGGAAATTTTGCCTTAGATCCTTTGATAACTTCTGCTTCATCCCTTCGGTTGGAGCTTCAGGGGGTATTCTTATAGTCTGAAAGAGTTCTATTTTCTCTGGTCATAAGGTTTTCCAAAATAGGTTTGCAATTTCTGTGAAATTCTCTTCTTTCCATAATAATGATCCTTGGATTCTCACTTCAGTTTATGGGCCATGTGATAGTGAAGGCAAGGAAGAATTCATGCACTGGTTTGAAAATATTCAAATGCCAGATGATCTTGACTGGCTTATCATTGGTGACTTCAATCTCTACGGAAAATCTAAAGACAGAAATAGAGCAGGTGGAAATGTGGGTGATATGCTCTTGTTCAATAATGCAATCAGTGCATTGGGGCTTGTTTAAATTCCTCTACATGGGAGAAAATTTAATTGAACCAATAAGCAGCATCCACCACTCTTAGAAAGACTTGACTGGTTTTTCTCCTCTCAGCCTTGGACTCTCAGGTATCCTCTTACCATTGCTCATTCCTTGGTCATGGAAACCTCTGACCATTGGCCTTGTGTGATTGAGATTAAAACTTCCATTCTTAAGGGAGTAATCTTCAGATTTGAGAATTGTTGGATGGCCCATAACAGCTTCTTGCCTGTGGTTGCTAGTTGTTGGAATGGCTCTTTTCCTCAACAGGATGCAGCCAAGCTCCTGACTACCAAATTCAAGTCTCTCATATGTGCTCTAAGGTATTGGTAGGCTAAACTTTCAAATCTCAAGATCACAATTGAGAATGTTAAATTAGTTATTTCCTTCCTTGATTCTATTGAGGAATGGAGGGATCTATCATTACAAGAATAGAATTTCAGAGACATCCTCAATCTGAAGCTCAGTTTTCTCCTCCACCAACAAATGATTTACTAGAAGCAAAGAGGCATTGTTAAATGGGTCCAGTTGGGGGATGGGAATTCTAAGTTTTTTTACTCAATAGCAACTGCCAGGCATAGGAGGAACCTGATCACTTCACTAACTAGCCCATCTGGTGTTCCAGTTTATGACCATAATTCAAAGGCTGAGCTCATTTGGTCTGATCTCAAGGATAGATTAGTCTCCTCAAGCTACTAGAACATGTTGTTTGACCTTGATTCCCTCTTTGGCCAGCCCTGTGATCTCAGCTCATTAGAGATGCCCTTTAGCAACCAAGAAATTGATGATGTTGTAAAGAATTTGCCTCCAGACAAATCTCCAGGACCTATGGGTTTAATAATGATTTTCTAAAGAAATATTGATTTCTGATCAAGCATGATTTCTATAACCTATGCTATGCTTTCTTTTCTGAAGAGGTTTGCCTCCAGAGCATCAATGGCTCCTTTATAACCCTCATTCCAGAAATTGATGGGCCAACCAGAATCAGTGAATACAGACCCATCTCCCTGCTCAACTCCTCAATAAAGATCATCACTAAGCTGCTGGCTAACAAACTTCAGCCCTGGATTACTAAGTTGGTCCATGTCAATCAATATGGCTTCATCAAGTCTAGATCTATTCAGGACTGTCTGGCTTGGTCCTTTGAATATCTGCACCTTTGCCACTCTTCAAGAAAGGAGCTTGTAATCTTGAAGCTAGACTTTGAAAAAGCATTTGACAAAATTGAACATGAGGCTATGTTGCAAATTATGATGAAGAAAGATTTTGGGAAAAATGGTTGGCTTGGTTGAAGCTTATCTTTTCTTCTGGCACCTCTTCTGTTCTACTAAATGGTACTCCTGGTAAGGTCTTCCATTGTAGAAGAGGTGTTAGGCAGGGGGATCCCTTATCCCCTCTTCTGTTTGTCCTTGCTATAGATTTACTACAATCAGTTCTCAACAGGGCAAAGGAACAAGGGTTGCTCAATCTCCTAATCTCTCTTCAGTATACTAATGACTTCCCAATCCTTCAGTATGCTGATGACACTCTTATTATTATGGAAGGATGTGCTAGGCAATTGTTTGTGATGAAAGCTCTTATAAACACTTTTGCTGATTCTACTGGTCTGAAGGTGAATTTCTCCAAGTCAATGCTAGTTCCAATTAATATCTCTGAGGAAAGACTTCAACACCTTGCTACCACCTTTGGCTGCTCCACTGGTAGTCTACCTTTCACCTACTTGGGGCTTCCATTGGGTACTACTAAACCAAGAGTTGAGGACTTCTTGCCTTTGGTGACTAGATGTGAAAGGAGGCTGGTCAGCACCTCTCTTTTTCTCTCTCAAGCTGGGAAGCTCTAGATGACTAATTCAGTCTTCACATCCCTTCCTATGTTCTTCATGAGCACTTTTCACCTTCATTCCACTGTTAGGGAGCAAATTGACAAATATAGAAAGCACTGTCTTTAGAGAGGGGCTGAAGAAAACAACAGAATCAATGCCAAGATTGCTTGGCCCATGGTGACCAAATCAAAAAAAGAAGGTGGACTTGGGGTGTTGGACCTCAAAACCCAAAATAAGGTCTTGCTCCTAAAAAACTTTCACAAATTTTTTAATAGAGCAGACATCCCCTGGGTGCATCTTATCTGGAAGAAATATTATAGTAATGGTAGGCTCCCTAATCATGTCAAGAAAGGGTCATTCTGGTGGAAAGATGTCTTGAAATTGTTAGATAAGTTCAAAGGCATGGCCTCAGTTTCAGTGGCACATGGTTCTTCTTGCCTTCTCTGGAATGATTGCTGGATGGGTCAACCTCTAAGATTAACCTTTCCTAAATTGTTCTCTTTTGCCAAGAAGCCTCTCCTTTCTCTCCAATGTGCAGCCTCAGTTAGTAACACCTCCAGCCTGTTCAACCATCCTCTTTCAACAGAGGCATTTGCACAATTTCAACAGATTGAAATCATCCTGCAAAACCTTCAGCTGTTTGATGGTGTTGACACCTGGATGTATATTTGGGGCATCTCCATTTTCACCTCCAAGAAGGCTTACTGTCACCTACGTGGAAGAAGTTGGTCACACCCAATTTATAAATGGATTTGGAAATCCTCTTGCCAGCATAATCATAAGGTCTTCTTCTGGTTGCTCACTCATGACAGACTGAGCACCCGTAACAATTTGAGGAGGAAGCACATGCATCTTCCTTCTCACAATTGTGTGCTTTGTTCTTTGAATTCTGAGGAAACTATTCAGCATCTTTTTTTGGAATGTGAAATGGTTAAAGCCTGCTGAAATCTTATTGGCATTACAGTTAATTTAGCACTGGACCCTTTGCAGATCTTCGAGAGTTTCAGAATGCAGCTAAATGTCAGCTTTTTTATGGAAATCATCGCCATTATGAGTTGGAGTATCTGGACTATTAGGAATGATGCCATTTTCAGAGGACTCTCTGCTACCGTTCAAAGGGTTTCAGATTTTTTCAAGCACACTTTTGGCTTGCTCCTATAGAGGGCTAAAAAGAAATACGTTCCTTCAATTGAATTATGGCTAGAGCACTCTCTGTAATTGTTTTAATTTTCTTTGTTTCTCTTTTTTTTTTGTTTCCTGAACTTTGGTCTGCCTGTGATCTTTCTTGTAACTTCTTGTAAAACTTTTGCTTTTTTTTAACCTTCATGGTTACTCTAATAAATTTCCAGTTGGGACTACCCGAGTCCCTCCTGTTCCAAAAAAAAAAAGAGATAATTTTGTTTATTTTCATCTCCATGATGACTCCATCTCCATGGAATATTATAAGATGAGGAATTGGATGTTACCTTTACCACCACGGCGCCACCAAGCCTGCTGCACTTCGCTCCATCCTTGACAACTCTCGGTTTTGGTCAGATTAAGTTAAATCGGCCGCTAAAACCTCCGCTGGCGTTGAATCACACAGTCGATTAAGTTGACAAGAACGGCCACTTGGTTTATGGTCGGTCAACCAAAAATACTAACACTACTCTACTACGATGAGCAAGTAGAGTACTAATTCGATTTGATTAGCTCCTCAATGAACCCCCTGCTGCCGCGGCGCGGAGCAAACAAAGCCTCCGAATCAAGCGATGGGATCGGATTAGCAAGACGGGACCATTGGAGCACTTGCATTGGTTGGCGACTGTAGATGACGTTCCCCACACTACGTCAGGGGACCGGCGGATTTCCTCGTCATCATCAGCGCGTAGTACTAGAAATAAACCGTCCTTCTCGGGGACCAGACCATTTCATTTCATGCGATCCGATCGACTCCGAGAGAGCAAACCCCAACGACTTGACTCCACCGGAAAACTTGTGACGAAGGCAGCGCGCGTCAGGACTGACGTACGCACCGTGATGACGGTGCACGGATGTGGCGAGGCCCAACTGCCAGCCCAAGGCATGGTCAAGTCGTCTTCGTCGTCGCCCACAACGGCACAAGGTAAAATGACCGCATTCGTCCCCTATATAGCGTGGCCCGCAGCGTCCACGCACAAGGTTCACGTGCCCGCGCCTTCTCGTTCGTACACCCATCCTTAAGCTTTAAAATATAACACCGTAGCTCTGTTATTACATTATCACATATACAGCAAGACGTGGCGGTGATCGATGGCCATGGACAGCAACGGCGAGTGCTCGTCCCCCATCGCCAGCGCCGGGCTTCTGCCCCTCTTCGGCCCGTCGCCGCCGCCGCCTCAGGTCAATCCACTCCACCGAATGCTCCATCGCCTGGTCACTCACTGACACTAGTGGCCTGGGTTTACTTTGCTTGCGTACCTGCAGTTGGCAGTTGCTCATCTCCTCTGTTTGATTCGATCGACAGGCGGAGAGTCTGGAGGAGAAGCTGAGGCGGGTGAGCGAGGAGAACAGGAGGCTGGCCGCCGCGCTGGACGCCATACTCGCCGCCGACCGCTCCACACCGCGAGCGCTCGCCACGTCGCCGCCGGCCCAGCAGGGCAATGCGGCTTTGACGACCCAAGCAGCCGCTGGCGTCACCGCGGAGCCGCGGCCCAGGCTGCGGACGGTGCGCGCGCGCGCTGAGCCGGCGGACGCCGACGCCAACCACCTCAAGGACGGCTACCAGTGGCGCAAGTACGGCCAGAAGGTGACGCGCGACAACCCCTACCCGAGAGCCTACTTCCGCTGCGCCTACGCTCCCTCCTGCCCCGTCAAGAAGAAGGTAAAGGATTCAAAGATCGGAGTTTCAACAAATTCACCCCCCTTTTTTCCCTTCTAAATAAAAGAGTGAAAAACGGCGCAGGTGCAAAGGAGTGCAGATGACAATTTGATGCTGGTGGCGACATACGAGGGTGAACACAACCATGAGCAACGTGCCCAGAGCGAGTACGTCAATGACGCATCGACGAGCCAGCAGCAGCAGCACCAGGCCGGGTCGTCGTCGTCGTCACTGCCGTGCTCCATCATCTCCATCAATTCGTTGGGCCGGACGATCACCCTTGGCCTGGCGGACCAACGGCCGCCGGGATCGAGTTCGAATGCCGAGGCGGTCGTCGTAGGGGAGATTGTAACGCCCGAGTTTCGGAAGGTTTTGGTGGACGAGCTCGCGAATTTGCTCAAAAATGATTCCGAGTTCATCGAGTCGCTGGCGAGCGCCGTGTCTGATAGGGTGATGGAGAGAATACCAGCAGCAGGGCACATATTTTGATGAAAGACTGGATAAATCACGCTCGTGGATGGATGCAAAATAAATGTGAATATACACATGCACTTTTAATCTTGCTGTTGAAAAAACACTGATAATATGTCTATGTAACATAAACTTATATACTTGCCCTACAACTTTCTATTTTCACAAAAAAAAAGAAACTACAACTTTATTAACTATTTTATAAACTGTTCCTCACCGTCTAAACTGAGACCCACCTGACTAAAATATATATCTATATGTTTAAGAGAAGAAACAAAATAGCGTATGTGAAATATATACTTATATTTATGGCCACGTGGGCTACAATATTAACATAAATGACATTACGAATCTAGATATTGATTTTTAAATTTTATACCAATTGCTACATATTTTTTATCCTTAAAGTTAATAAAACTCTTGTGCTTGTTTTACCTATGTTAACACTTCTTTTGTATTTATTAAAATAAGAATTTTAGGTAGTATACTGAACTCTCTGAAGTACTATGATAGAAAAAGTGCTCATTCTAATCTTATCATGTCGCTCAAGATCAATGGTAAGTGAGATGTAGGATAGAGCAGTGGAGCTATAACCTTAAGAGGCTATTATATTTAAGCCTGATCGATATCACTACTTATTTCAAAGAAATATCAAAGATCATGAGTGTATTAGTTACCTTTGCTTTGCACTAACCTCTTCCACTTCTCAAAGTTTTTTTTCCAATTTTCTATAATTTGAATTGAATTATCAGTGTCATTGATATGTGGTTTCTCAAGGGAATATTTTTCTATGATTGATAAATATCAAAATAAATATATTTTTCTAATGTATTTATGTTTACTTGGTTTACATGGTGACGTGTAGCATTGTTCTTACTTTTAAATTAAAAGTGGTAGAAGTGAGTAATTTAGTATATATTTACTTCATGGTTATTGAATTATTTTCATAATAGCTTCCATTATTAACATTTATATTCGTAGATTTGAGGGCGGATAATTTAGATATGAATGAAATGTGTTACTTTATGTTATCTTTCGTAATGACATATGTGCATAATTATTTATATGCAAATTTAGATGTTATTTTTGCGTTATTTTTCATATAATGGCATATGTCATTAATTTATATACAAACTTATGAAATTATTTTAAATTATCTTTCATAACAGTAGAGGTTGTTAGTTTATGTATAAATTTAGGGAAGTTATTTTAAATTATATTTCATAATAACACAGTTGGGTAACAGATGCAAATTTAGGGGTTTTTTCTTAATCTTAATAATACAGTTTGACAATGGAATGGAGTGTCCTCGATACTCAGAACGTGGCAAGTTTGTTGAAGTGAAGTCTTCTGCAAAAAAACAAGAAAAAAGAAACTGACGTCAGGGAAGCTACGTGTGCGCAAGTGTTCTCATAGTGGCGTTACAACTCTTGATAGGAGAGTTAAAATTGTTGTCCTCCAAGAATATGACCTCAACGAGTTGACAGCATGCGCTTGACTTGTAATTAACAGGTAAAAGTCATAAAAGAAGACGTACTTATGATTCTAATATCTAGTCAAGAGTACGTGTCGATAATGACGAGATAGAATGTTAATGACTTTGAATCACGAAAGTACAAATCTTTATGTTAGGGTCACCGGAGGTACAAAAGTTTGTCAGAAAACAATGGAAAAGGAACCCAAACCAAAGACTATATGCAGAGTCAGGATGTCTCCAACAGGAGACCCATCAAGAGACCCAAACCCAAAATAGGTTTCCAACAGAATACATATAGCCTCCAACAGAGTATCTATACGGAAGACCCATTTTAGGTGTCAGGAGAGGTATAACCCAAATCTGAGTATCCTCTCTCCTGGAGACCCATTTGCAAAAAGGGTTATCTTTTAGGTTTTATTGTTGGAGAAGACCAAAAATAAGTATTGAATCATTTGCCTATAGCGCTACCCAAACGTGAAATTGATTAAGTATTTTGGATAGCGGTTATCAAAGACACTCTTAGGCTCGAACCTTTTGGTAGTTGTATATGTAGAAGGGCTTTTTGGATTCCTGCCATCGCAATTTTCCAAGGTTTGAAGATTGCCATTACAATTCGTCTTATTGGAAGATTGCCATTACAATTCTCGATACCCCTGTTCGTTGCCCTCATCTATGTATCCGATCAGCTAGGGCCCATTGTTGCCGTCGGATGCATACATGGCTTGATATGGACGCCGATGCCCCTCCTCCCTAAGTCTTTGAAGCCATAGCGGCTCCTCTCTTCGTTACCCCGGTCATCTCCTTCCCCTTGAGCTTTCTTCTCCATCTCCGTCCCCCCCCTCCTCAGAACCCTAACCCTAGAAACCAGCCATACTTGAGCCTCTTTTTGGAGTCAGCGTCGAACCCTAACTTTGGCGGCCACCGGCGATGTTGGAGGCACCGTGATAGGGAAGTTAGGACTCAAGCGCATCCATATGGCGATGACGATGGAGGAACGCGGTAGTAGGTACCCAATATCTTTCTTCTCCGTTTGCTCATCAAAGTTGGCGATTAGGCGTTTAATTTCCTTGTATTGTTGAGTGCATGTATACACTTCGATTGGGATGGATTTTTTGCTTGTTAGGGATGGGATGTTTGCGCTAGAGGTCAAAGTTGAAGCTTTTGCTTCAAAAGACTTGAGTGGTAGGAAATCATACACAAAAAATGAGTGTTTAAGTTGGATGTGGAGTATGGGTGCGACACTAGACTTAGACTTTGTTGAAACATCGGCCTGAATTGAATCGTGCAATAACCAGGCGCCCTCAGTTTGGTTCTTTGACAAAAGATTGAATGAGGATGCAGACTAGTTGATGAGATCATGAGATGGTTGATTTGTTTGAAATGCATAAGGAGGAGATGACTTGCCAGGTTGTAGTAGGTGTATTTGATAGTTCAATCTGTGTAGAGCATGAGTTTGATACCTGCACTGGAGCCTCTTGTATGGTTCCTCCGATGATGTCTCAGAATTAGGCACTCATGATGTTAACCTTCTTACACAACATACTAGTGGTGGTCTTGAGCCAACAAATGAGCCGCATCTGCTCCTAAGAATCCAAAGCAGCTTACGAGTTAGAACCGGATAGAGAACCGGATATTTTTGATAACGAAGAAGAATATGTGGGAATTGATGATGAGACCATGTATGATGAAGAACCTACACACCAAACTGAGTTTCCTGACCACATGTTGATCCATCCTTTTGACAATGCTAACACTAATGCTACAATGATCCATCATTTGACTTTGTAAATGTTGAGGCAGAGGTGGATGATCTTGATCCTCTAGAGATCAATGTCTTGCATGACCACGAGAACCCAAAGATTGTGAAGGGGGCGTTGTTTCTCGATATCACTTCATTCAGGAAAGCAATTCGACATTATGCTGTGAAGACTGGGTTTGAGTTTGCTGCTGCTGGTTACAAATCTGACAAGTCAAGGTTCATAGCTAAGTGTGCTGCTGAGAGGTGCCCTTGGCGTATACATGCTTCCACCATTTTTTATAAGAAATGGAGATGTATATTTGTTTTCAGATTTGTGATGTATCATTCTCTCTCATTACCATTTCTTTGGATATTTTATTTAGTTAATTAATTTTTTATTCCCTATTGTACAGATCAAAGTGTTGCCCTGAGACCAGTGTGTGGATTAGGAAGGATGCATAGTTGCGGTTGTGGATTGCAGATAGGCTTGGAGATTGGATTAAGAAAAACCCAACAAAAAGCAAAGGATGCAAAGGACAAATTGGAAGGTGACTATGGAATTAAGTGAAGTACTCAAAAGCTTGGTCTGGTTTGAAGGTTTTGGATCAAATACATGGTAAGTATGAGAAAGCTTTCACCTTGAGGGGGTGACTGACTAGAAATAAGTTCACAGAAGTAGAGTAGAGATAGAGTTAGAGAAGGTTGGTAAAAAGAATAGGTTCAAGAGGATTTTTGTTGCTTTGAAGCCTTGCATTGATGGATTCCTAGGTTGTAGACCCTTTGTAGGAGTAGATGCTTCTTTTACGAATGGAAAGTATATAGGCAGTTTTTCTTATTTTGTAGAGATGCTCAAATGGTTATATCATATTGCATTTGGTGTGTTTCATGATGGCGAGGACAACTGGAAGTGGTTCCTAGAGAATTTGCATGTGACATAGGAGACCCTCCAGGACTTGTGTTATGTTGATGCTTGGATTAGAGAAAGATGTGGGGCTGTTTTCCCACAAGAAAAAACAAGTGTACTAGGCACATGTACAACAACTTCATGAAACACTACTCGGGGGATGTTTTCGCCTCCATTGCCTCTTCTCCTCACGAAGGCATGTTCAATGGCATATGAAGAAAATCTTTCAGTTTGCTCCAGCTGCAATTGACTACCTTCAAGAGTATCATGCTAGGATATGGTACAGAAGTGGCTTCTCTGAGGATAGTAAATGTGATTATTTAACTAATAATGTCTCTGAGTCCTTCAATGCTCAGATCAAGGACTTAAAAGGACTTCATCTCCATGAGTTAGTTGACATGATAAGAGAGTTGATAATGGAGAAAAGGTACATAAGAAAGAAGATTGCATAGAAATGGGCAGAAGGAATCTTACCTGGAGTCATGAAGGACTTGAACCTTATAAGTAAGAACCTCAAAGTTGTGAAGGTTAAAGTTAGTGATGATGACTTTGCGGAGAGGTGACCACTGTTGGATCTGGAACAACCAGAGAAGGCACTGATGAGATCTTAAAAATAACAAGTGTTCATGCGGGGAATGGCAGGTGGCGGCAAGCCATGCAAGCATGCCTGGCATGGATACTATCCAACCCTCGCATAGATGATTTTGTGCATGAATATTACTCTGTTGCTAGGTTCAAAGCTACCTATGAGGATAGAGTTGAACCAATGCCAGACAGATCGCAGTGGCCAGAAATTGATCTTGGGTTCAAGGTTCACCCACCTCTGCTGGGAAGAGCAGCAGGTAGGCCTAAGGTTCAAAGACAAAGAGGGTGCCTAGAAAAAAATCCAGACAAAAAGA